ATTTAAAAAAAAAACAAACACCCCCTCAAAAAAAAAAAAAAAGCACTAAAAATGGTCAAACCATCCTAATTTTACCCAATTTCACTGGGAGATCTCTAAGAGGTGGATGAACCACCCGGTGCTGCGATCCCTTGATGGGGTCAACACAGGTTGCTGACGCCCATGGGGCTCCCCCCTCCTGGAAAAGGGGGGTCCAAGAGGGAGCTGCTGAAGGATTCAGCTGTGCCAGCAGCTCTCTGGCAGTGGTGGCATCTTCTACCCTGCAGAGACAGCCCAGGAGATGCTAAAGGAGGTCACAGCTTCTGCTTTAATGGCTGAGGTTTGGTGGCTCCCCACACCGAGCGGGCGACGCCAAGCGGGGTCCCCCCTCAGACCAAAGCTCCCCCCAACCTTCCATGAGCAAGAAAGGAATGATTAAAAATCACAACTAAATCAGTGTTTTCCCCTTGTTTCACTGAGGGGGGGACGTGGAGGAGCCCAGAGCTGGGAGATGGACGAGTCCTTCTCCGAGAGGATCCATCCAGCAGTGGGGGTGTGGGGGTGGTCCTGGCAGCACCCGCATCATCACAGCCCAGCCAGGCCACCAAGTGCTTCCCAGGCTTCCCAGACAGCCAGTCCTGGAGCTGGTGGGACACAAAGAGAGCCTGGTGACCTCCCCCCTCAGTACATGGCCTCGTTGTCCCCCACGGCGGTGAAGGGGACGCCGCTGTAGGTGCTCTTCTTGCTGCGCTTGCTCTTCTTGCTCCACACCAGCAGCGTGCTGGGGCTCTTGCTGTTCATCAGGCTCTTCCTGCTGTTCTCCTTGTTGCTCTTCAGCATCCCCGAGGACATCCCTGCTGCCTTCTTGTCCACCTGCTTGGGAAGGAGGGAGAGAGGGGAGTGAGAGCCACGACACCGGGGAACTCCCACGCTTCCCACAGCCGGAAAAATCCACATTAGAGAGGTTTCAGTGCAGCTTTTCAGCGCTTTTATCTGGCTGGTACCCCTCCACAAGGTTTCTAAAAATGCTGTTTGTCATTCCTGGCTACGAAATTCCAACCTGCACCACGGTTGTGTCCCCTCCTCAGCCTGAAGGAGAGAGGGGGGGAGAGGTGAAGGGTTTTCCACCTGGGAAAACGTGCTGAGAAGGAGACACAACGCTTGGTAAAACCAGTCAGAGCCACCCAGGAGCCTCGAAACCCTTCCAGAAGGTGGGAGGCTGTGCCAGAGGAGATGAGGAAGAGGAAGAGAAGGTGAAGAGATGGTTTTTTTTAGGACCTCTGGCTCAAATTCAGGGGTGTGGCGAGGGCACCGCTGTGAGAGGGGTGGTTTCGGAAGTGGGTGGGACGGATGAGGGAAGGTCCAAATATTGTCACTGGGACCTGAACGTTATCATTAGAAAATTAATATTGTCATTAGAATCCGAATGTTGACATTAGAACCCAAATATTGTCATTAGAACCTAAATAATTGCCATTAGAACCCGAATACTGTCATTAGGAGCTGAATATTGCCATTAGAATCTGAATATTGTAATCAAACATGAATATTGTAATTAGAACCCAAATACTGTCATTGGAATGTAAATAATATACTGTGAACCCAAATATTGTCATTAGAACACAAATATTGTTGTTAGAACCTGAATATTCTAACTAGAACACCAGTAGCGTCACTAGAACCCCAATACTGTCACTAGAACTTGAATATTGTAATTTGAACCCAAGTATTGTAATATGAACTCAAATATTGTCATTAGAACATGAATATTGTCATTGGAACCTGAATATTGTCATCAGAACCCGAATATTGTCTTTAGAACCAAAATATTGTAATTAGAACCCAAATACTGTCATTAGAACTTGAATATTGTAATTTGAACCTACGCATTGTCATTAGAACCTGAATAATTGTCATTAGAACCCAAATAATTGCTATTAGAACCCGAATATTGCTATTAGAGCCCGAATATTGCTATTAGAGCCTGAATATTGTCATTAGACCCTGAATATTGTCATTAAAACTCAAATACTATCATTAGAACCCAAATATTGTACTTTGAACCCAAATATTGTAATTAGAATCCAAATATTGGCATTAGAACCCAAATACTGTCATTAGAACCTAAGTACTGTCATTAGAATGTAAATAATATACTTTGAACCCAAATATTGTAACTAAACCCCAAATATTGTCGTTAGAACCTGAATATTGTCATTAGAACTTGAATATTGTCATTAGAACTTGAATATTGTCATTAGAACTTGAATATTGTCATTAGAACTTGAATATTGTAACTAGAACTCAAATCCTGTCATTAGAACCCAAATATTGTCATTAGACCCCAAATATTGCCACTAAACCCCAACCACTGCCATCAGAACCCGACCCCTGCAACACTCCCTGCCGTGCCGAAGGAACGATTTTTTTCGGCTCGAAACCCAACTCTTCGTTAACCCCAACCAAACTAACGCCTTATCTACCAAGGTGTGGTCTCCCACGGCCACGGGGGGGAGTGGGAGTGGGTGGAATCCCCGAGGTTCAGGAAGGAGGTGACTTACGGCACGGGGTGCCTCGGAGCCGTGCAGGGTGATGACGGCGACGTCGACGCCGTCGGCGCCGCAGCTCTTGAGGAGCTGCACGACCTCGGCGTGCTTGGCCCACCGGCAGTCCCGGCCGCTCACCGAGACGATGTAATCGCCCTCCTTCAGCCCGGCTGCCTGCGGGGAAAGCGGGAAAACGGATCAGCAGGAGCTCGTGGAGTGTCCCAGAGTCTCGTGGAATGGTTTTCCTGGTGAATTCCAAGCCGTGTTGTTCTGTTGCTTCTCCGAGCCCTGTTCAGTGCGGCCCGGAGCGTTTCCAGGGATTGGGGAGCCACAGATTCTCTGGGAATTCCAGCCCAACCCCCCCCCACCTTCCCAGACAGGAATTCCTTCCCAATATCCCTTTTAAAGCTCCCATGTTTCAGTTTGAAGCCATTCCCTGTGTCCTGTCCCTCCATCCCTTGCCCAAATTCCCTCTCCAGCTCTCCCTCTCCCCCTTCTCTTGGAAGGGGCTCCAAGGTCTCCCTGGAGCCTTCCCTTCTCCAAAGTGAGGAGGTGACACAACTGTGGCTCTGATATGGACTACGAATGGTCTTGGAGAAGATTCTGGTCTCCCAAAAAAAGGGATGGGATCCTGCTGTTAAGATCCTGTGTTGTTACAGAGATTCCAGCCCCTGGATGGCTGGTGGATGCTGAGGGAGCTGGGAGACCTTTTGGGCATCCCAGCAGGACTCTCCAGGATCTGCTGGATAAAAAAGTTGCTCTTGATACACCACAGGGTCCCTACAGTGAGTTTTCAGTGGAATAATCTGTTTTACAGGCTTGCCATCCTGTTCCATCCGTCCTCACATCTCAAAATGAGGGATAAGGCAGCTGAGTGGGCAGCCAGCAGTTAAAGATCGGAGCAAACCTTCCTATTTTTCCCTAAAAATTCATCTCAATTGTTTCCTGACACCCACCTGCAATCCTCAGGCTGGGATCCTGCAGGGATGAGTCTCCACCAAGACCTAAACCCACCTGGTATCCCTCAAAAACCCCTCAGTTCCATCATGGGAATAGCAAGAACCTGGAATAATCAGCCCCCTTGAGAACCCAGGCTGGAAGCCTACAGGGATGAGTCTCCACCTAAGCTCACCAAGACCTAAATCCCCCTTGTATCCCTCAAAAAAACCCTCAGTTACAGCCTGGGAACAGCAGGAATTTGGGATTACCTAAAACCACCTGGTATCCCTCAAAAAACCCCTCAGTTCCAGCCTGGGAATAGCAGGAACCTGGAATAATCAGCCCCCTTGAGAACCCAGGCTGGAAGCCTACAGGGATGAGTCTCCACCTGAGCTCACCAAGACCTAAATCCCCCTTGTATCCCTCAAAAAAACCCCTCAGTTCCAGCCTGGGAATAGCAGTTATTTGGGATTACCTAAAATCACCTGGTATCCCTCAAAAAACCCCTCAGTTCCAGTCTGGGAAGAGCAGGAATTTGGGATTACCTAAACACACCTGGTATCCCTCAAAAAAACCCCCTCAGTTCCAGCATGGGAACAGTAGGAATTTGGGATTACCTAAAACCATCTGCTACCCCTCAAAAAAACCCTCAATTCCAGCATGGGAATAGCAGGAAGCTGGAATAATCAGCCCTCTTGGGAACCCAGGCTGGAATCCTGCAGGGAGGAGTCTCCATTTGAGCTCACCAACGCACTTCTAAGACCCCAAACCACCTGATATCCCTCAAAAAAACCCCCCTCAGTTCCAGCCTGGGAAGAGCAGGAACCCGGAATACTCACGGCAGCGCAGCCCCCCGGGATGACGCCGGCGATGAGGACGGGCGAGTCTCCCCTCAGAGTGAACCCAAATCCATTCTCTCCCCTCATCAGGTGGACTCTCCTGGCTGGATACCACTTGTTTTTGGCAGAGAAGACCGACAGGGGTCCCTGGGGGGAGGCAGAAACGTGGAAAGCACCTTTTGGTGCAGGAACAACTCTCCCCTTGCAATTCCAGGGATGGAGAGAGGGGGCAGGGGAAGAAATTCCGTGTTTTGCAGGAATAATAAAAAAAAAAAAACATCATCCAAGGAGGGATGCTGGAGGTTGAGGGGTTTTATCTGGGAGATGCTGAGGGTGGCCCAGGTCACCTCTTCCCCAGGGGCTGTTTTCCCTCATATCTTTCCTGTTTCCCTGCCTTTTTCCTGCTTTTGCATTCCCACAGGATAATCCTGGATCTGTTTAAGGGCACAAATGCACGACCTCTCCATGGGGTGCTCAATGACAGCACAGCCAGACCCCACAGAAACCCCAAAGCTCAGCCCTGAACCCCAGACCTGTTCCCCAAGACCCCACAGACCTGAAGGGATCGGGATAAAGCTCCAGTGGGATTTTCCTGCCGCCTCCTGCCCCCCAAAATCCTTCCTTTTAAGGCTCCCTTGGGTCCTTCTTGGGTCAAACCTATCCACAGGGAGGAGGGGGTGGGTGAGGTGGTGGGACAGATCACCCCTTCAGGGTCTGATTCCCCTCAAATCTTTCCTGTTTTCCTGTCTTTTTCCTACTTTTCCACTCCCACTGGAGCAGGATATCCCTGGGGCTGTCCAAGAGCACAGAGGATAACCTCTCCTTGGGGTGCCCAGGGGGTGGGGACAGCACAGCCAGACCCCAGAGAAACCCCAAAGTTCATCCCTGAACCCCAGACCTGTTCCCCAAGACCCCACAGACCTGAAAGGATCGGGATAAAGCTCCAGTGGGATTTTCCTGCCGCCTCCTGCCCCACAAACCTTCCTCTCAAGGGCTCCCTTGGGTCAAAAGCCCCCCAAAATTCCCGTGCCAGCTCCCAGAGGAGCTTTGTGACCCATTTAGGTCTCGTGGAGACAGATCTGTGCCCTCCCAACCCTCTTCCTGCCGGTGAGGAGGCGGCTCATCCTCCTTGGAAAACTGCCTGGAAGAGGGAGAAGGAGCTGGGGGAGGAAGGGAAGCAGGCAAAGCAGAGCATGCAGGGGAGGAGGAGGGGAATGTCTGATCCCTTGGGAGATCCTCCACCCTGGAGCTGTACCTACCAGCCTGTGGAAGAGGTCGGTCACCTTCACCTGGGAGAAGTTGGGGGGTTTGATCTCGGGCTTCTGGTGGGTTTTGGCTGGTGGTGGGTAGAGAAAAAAAACAAAGACACACAAAGGAGGTGACCTCAGGGGGTTGTGGGGGCAATTTCTACCTCCACATCACCCAAGGAGGGGTGGTGGGAGCCATAACAACCAGGACCTGCTCAGGCAGCAGAGAATGCTGGAACGGGTCAGATTGGAGGTGAATTTAAAGATCATTCAGTCCCACGGGCAAGGAACCCCCCCGTGCCACGCCATGAACTCACTGTGGAGCTTCCCCACCCCGTGAAAAATCCCCCAAAACCCCCTCCCCAGATGCAAAAAACCCTCCCCCACACCCCCACTCACGGTGGATGTCTGGGGCATCCCCCGTCTCGAAGAAATCCTCCTCGTGGTCGATCTCCGAGTACTTGCTCAGGGAGCGCTTGTGGGCGAAGGACAGGACCTCCTGCAGGATGTCCATCTTCCTGAGGATCTTGCACAGCCCGTGGATCCTCATGGCCTCCTCGTGCTTCATGATGGCTTTTTTCAGGTGGGCTTTGCCTGGGAGGGAGCAGAGGGATCTCGGTTGGGAGCGGAGCAGCTCCGGCGCCGCTCCCGCTCACTCGGCTGCCCACGGATGGGGAGCAGCTTCCCCGGGGCTGTGACACCCTGGAGTGACTCAGTGACAGCCCAGTCACGTTCCCAGCCTGCTGGAGGCTCTAAATGGGGTCGTTCCCAGCCCCTCAGCTCGAGCCCTCCATGTAGGGCTGGGAAGGGACCTTGAAGGGTGACCTACTTGGCTCCCCCGGCGCCGGAGCCGGCAGATGTTCCTGAAAACCGGCGTCGTGCCGCCCCCGAAGTCCCTCCTAAAGCTTAACCTCAATCTCCTCCCGCAAATTAACTTCTCTCTCCGTGCCTTGCATCCCCTGGGAGCTGGGAAGGTGGAGAACAAGCCGGCCCCGTCCTCCTGGATCAGCCTTTGGGGAAGGTGCAACACCCTCTCCCTGTTTTCCAGGCTAAGCCGAGCCTTGTCCTTGCCCTGCAGCTCCAGGAGCGGGAACACGGAGAACAAGCCGGCCCCGTCCTCCTGGATCAGCCTTTGGGGAAGGTGCAACACCCTCTCCCCGTTTCCCAGGCTAAGCCGAGCCTTCTCCTTGCCCTGCAGGTCCTGCTCTCCATCCTCTTCATCCCCCCTCATCGCTCCTCCCCACTTGCCTTCCACAGGTTGCGACCCTCGGGAAAAGGACGCGGCGGGAAAACAGCCCGAGGAGCAGAAATCATGGTAACCCACGGATATCAGAGCAAACATCTCCCCTGCCACACACCGCAACCGAGGCACCCGTTTCCAAGGCTAAACTCCCAAAAAAAAAAAAGCTCTCCCCGCGTGTGTACGCGTCGCTTGGAAACGCCCGTGCCTGGAGCGTTTCAGGCTCGGGACACACGGGGGCAACAGAATCCAGGGAGAGGATCGGCTCCGCTCCAGGCTCCCGAGGAAGTTTCCTAACGGAGGGAATGGTTTTGGGGTCGGATGGAAAACAGAGAGGAGGAGATTCC